GGTGAGCCATCTGTCACGTGCTCCTGTGACAATCCACAAGAAAAAGTCCCCTTAGCAACTAAACAGGCTCCAAGGACATACACACACAATCCTCAATCCACTCTTAAAATAGCATCAGACACAGCGTTTCACAGGGAACATCTCTTCATTCATGCTGTATTCCTTCCCAATTTCCAGCCTCACGTGCTTCCCACAGAGCTGAAGCCTTCAGCCTTCAGATCTAATGCCACTCTATGAGAACTCAAACCTCTGCCTAGGTCAGAGTTCTCAGTTTAATATAGGCAAAAGCACGTCTATTTCTATAGTACTGCCACTCTCAGAAGGCAGAACATTGGGACAGTACGCCTCCAGGGATAATGCTTCGATACGCAATGTTCCCTAAGTCTGTGCCACTCTTTTTTTTTTTAATTGAGATTAGGTGATTACATAAATTTCACAGTATTGTGGAATAGTGATACTTAATTAAAGTCACAAACACATTGTAACCTTCGCAAGGCAAACTGTCATTATCATGGTCTATAAAGTTTGTGAATTCTTTTTTTTTTTTTTGGTCAGTGGTGGGGCCTGAACTCTTGGCCTGGGCGCTGTCCCTCAGCTCTTCACTCAAGGCTAGCACTCTACCAGTTGAGCCACAGCACCACTTTTGGCTTTTTCTGCTTAGGTGGTGCTGAGGAATTGAACCCAGGGCCTCATGCATGCAAGGCAAGCACTCTACCATTGAGTCACCTTCCCAGCCCCAAAGTTTGTGAATTCTATAAGCTTTGACAATACAACTGTTTCTTCCCTATCAGGTGATATTTACATTTCTTTCCTTTTGTTTAGCATAAGCTGTTCCCTCTTTCCCTCTCATTCCCTCCCTCCTATCACTGCCTTTGAATTGCTTAGCTCATTTTCATCTATGTCCAGTTGTGCCACTCTGTTAAACTAGAATTCAGACATCTGAATTTGGGGACATTTCATAAAGCTAGTGATAGCTGAAAGGTTAGAGTATTTGAGGCAGTGACCATTTGTTGCTTGTTTCAGAGCAGAGCAACACGTGGTGCTAAACCACCTGGTTGTGTGCCCTTATTAAGACCTGCAAATCCTAAGCTGGGGCTCTCCTCCTGGGCTCGGCTGTGTCGGAGTGTAGGAGGAGGCCGGAGCTGCAGCCCATTTAAATAAAACAGCTGTAGTGTAGGAGGAGGCCGGAGCTGCAGCCCATTTAAATAAAACAGCTGTAGAGTCTGACTCTCCGTGGTCTTCTTGGTGGGGGTCCTGCGACCTTGGCATAACACTCTCTCGCCATCACCTCCTCTAGACACATAAATTAAGCAAGTGTGGGGGAGTGACAGTTCACAGCAGAGTTCTGCTTTGTATTTATATCTTTTTAAATTTACTGGGTTTTTTTTAATGTCTTACATACACATTTTTGACTTGGTAGTTCCTTTTTTTGGGGGAGGGGTGGTCCGGTCGTGGGGCCTGAACTCTGGGCCTGGGCGCTGTCCTTCAGCTCTTCAGCTCAAGGCTAGCGCTCTACCACTTGAGCCACAGCGCCACTTCCAGCTTTTTTCTTTTTGCTTATGTGGTGCTGAGGAATCAAACCCAGGGCCTCAGGCATGCAAGACAAGCGCTCTACCACTGAGCAACTCTCTCAGCTAGACTTGATAGTTCTTTCTTCCTTTCTTTCTTTACAGGGTCTCAATATGTATCCCAGGTTAGCCTTAAAATTCAATCCTCCTGCTGTAGCCTTCCTAGTTCAGAGATTCAGGTGTGTACTACTTCTTGTGGCTCTGTTAAACACATTTTAAAGGTATCATCCCCTTTACTGCTCACTTCTATCGTTATTGTTGAAAACTTACTATTGGGGATGAGGACATGGTGAAATGGTAAAGCCTAGAAAGCAAAAAACTCTTAAGAGTTCAAGCCTCAATACCACCATCACAAAACAAAGTAAAACAACAACAACAAAAAAAATAGCAGTTCTGCCAACACTGTCAACTAAACTACCTACTCTAGGTTTTTATTGTTTTTGAATTTTTTTCCTGCTTGTGTGATTTCTTTGTATATTTCCTGCTTGGAATTGGTTAAGACTCAAAATCTGTGTGGGCTGGCATTGTGATGTTAGCCTGGGTAGAGTGAGCAATCGAGATTTCCCTTTTTAGTGTATTTCCACTTAGAGGGACACCAAACAAATTGTTTCCTAAGAGTTGGAGTGGAACTGGGGGAGGGGCAGACACTTTGTAGCATATACACACTTTCTCCCAGGTACTTGGATAACACTAATGAGATTTTGCAAATATAATTAGCATTCCAAATCAGTTCAGCTTTTGACTTGATTAGTTTGATTTTTGTAGTCAGCTAATGGCTTAATTGGGACTAGACAATCTAAGAAGGGCTGAGTTACTGAGCTAACAAGGCCTTATTAACCCAGCAATTGGTAGTCAGTGTTTTGTTACTGTTGTTTTTGTTGCTACAGTACTCGGTACTAAATCCAAGGTCTCACATTTGTGAGGCAAGCAGTCTACCACTTGAACCAAGTCCCTAGCCTGGCTCGTTTCTTGAGAGGGTTGGGGACAAGGCTCAGCTGTTTTCCTCCTCTTTTCCTTCAATAGACTTGCCCAGGTTTCCTTACATGTTAGTCTCAGAATTCTGAAGAGCAGACAAAGAGGCTAAGTTACAATGCTCTGGCTGTTTTTATTCCTTTGGTTTTGTCACATCTGCTATTGTCTTGCTGGCCAGATGCACTGCAATTAAACCCAGACAAACTTAAAAAAAGATTTGCAAATAAATCACAAATGGTTAGTTAATATTTAACGTTCTTATAAATTGTTAAGAAAAAACAAAAGAAATATATATTTGACAAAGAATATGGACAGTTTCTAAAGGAACTACAAATGTCTCCTGGTTGGCCAAAAGAAGAGACAAAATTAATTTCTTTTTAGAGCTTCAGTAATGAAACAGGAAAAAAAGAGAAAAAAAAAAACGAAGATTTTTTTTTTTTTTTTTGGTCAGTCATGGTGCTTGAACTCTGGGCCTGGGCGCTGTCCCTCAGCTCTTCAGTTCAAGGCAAGCCCTCTACTACTAGAGCTACAGCGCCACCTCCAGTTTTCTGGTGGTTTATTAGAGATAAAGAGTTTCACGGACTTTCCTGCCCGGGCTGGTTTTGAACTGAGATCCTTAGATCTCAGCCTCCTGGGTAGCTAGGATTATAGGCGAGAGCCACCGGCGCCTAGCTTTAAGAGGTTTTTAATTAGATGGTACAAAACTTTAAACATCAAAGTATAAACAAATATAGTGAATAATTGAATAATCTCTTCCTCCTTCCCTGTAACACATTCATCATATCCTTTGATTCTACTTGTGGAAGATTTGCCATGCAGGAATTTGCAGTATGTCAAAATACTCAACTAATTCAATCACTTCACTTATAGTTTCTGAATTCTGGTCATACATTTCTGATACTAGGGTTATTTAAAAACCAAAATGTTAGTGGGGCCAACAACTAGTGACTCATGCCTGTAATCCTAGCTACTCAGGAGGCTAAGATCTGAGGAACAAGGTTCAAAGCCAAGGCCAGGCAGGAAAAGTCCATGAGACTCTTATCTCCAATTAAGCACCATAAAAAGGCTGAAGTGCGGATGTGGTAGAACACTACCCTTGGGCAAAAAAATCTCAGGGACAGCACTCAGGCCCAGAGTTCAAGACCTCGAACTAGTAACAAAAAGCATTAGCAGGGCACCAGTATAATCCTAGCAACATAGGGAGCAGAGATCTGAGAACTGTGGTTTGACACTAGCCTGAGCAGATAAATTCAAGACTCCTATCTGCAATTAACTACCAAAAATCCAGAACTGGAGGTGCGACTCAAATGGTAGAGCACCAGCCTCAAGCATGAGGCCCGAGTTCAAGCCCCAATATTGACTTATAGACAAAAAGAAAAACATTAAAACTTCCCTGATATACTTTAGTACCTTTAAAGTTTTATTTTGTATTTTTTTTTTTTGCTAGTACTGGAGTTTGAACATAGGGAATCTCACAATCATGTTTGGCTTTCTAGTTCATGGCTGGCGCTTTACCACTTGAGTTGTACCTCTAGGTGGACTTTGCTAGTTAATTAAAGATGAGGTCTTGCAGATTTTTCTGACCAGATTGGTTTTGAACTGTAATCTTCCAGGTCTCAGCCTGCAAAGTAGCTGGGATTATACACATGAGCCACTGGAACCTGGCTTAGTACTTTTATTTTTAAAATTTTTTCGATTTAGGAAGTGGCGCTGTAGCTCAAGTGGTAGAGTGCTCGCCTTGAGCTGAAGAGCTGAGGGACAGCGCCCAGGCCCAGAGTTCAAGCCCCATGACCGACAAAAAAAAAAAATTTTTTTTTCGATTTAATCTTTGTTCCTTGAGTTATCCTAACCTAGTCCTGAAGTATGGATCTAGCCCTATATGTAGAATTATCTATTTTTCTACTGCGGACTTAAAGGTCATATTTTCTTCATAAAATAAATTCCTGCATATATTAACATTTAGAGGTAAGCAGACGAACTGATCAGAAAGAACAGCAGCAGCAAACCCCTGGAGAAAAAAGTGTGAAACCTTACTGCTGATAGAAGCACGTGTGACCGCTTTTGTTATGTTCACCTAATAGAACCACTGAAGATTCTTAACTGCCAACCACATACAAAAACAAACAGGTAACAGAAAGTGCTTTTTCATATATTTTTTGGTACAAAAATGCAATACAGAACAAGAATTATCAAAGGACATCATGCAAGAACACAAAAATTGCTATTAAGCAAAGCTAAAGGAAAATATTTTAAAGTCCTATTTGCTTTACTCTGTTAGGGAAAAGATGTTTATGTATTTCTTTTCTTCCTTTCTTTCTTCTTCTTTTTCTTTTTTTTGCCAGTCCTGAGCATTGTCAGGGCCTAAGCATTGTCCCGAGCTTCTTTTGCTCAAGGCTAGCACTCTTCCACTTGAGCCAAAGCACTGCTTCTGGCTTTTTCTGTTTATGTGGTACTAAGGAATCGAACCCAGGGCTTCATGCATGCCAGGTAAGCACTCTACCTCTAAGCCACAATCCCAGCCTGTTTACATATTTCTAGTCACAGTTCCATCAAGTTTACTTTCTTTGTAAGTTCAGCTTCAATGGCATCCTAAAAGAAGAAAAAGATATCATAAATTCCATATCTCAAATGAAAAGATGACATGCTATAATTTCTAATGATATTTAAGATGAGAGGAGAAAAAATATCAGAACAAATTTTATTTATTCACTGACTTTTTGGTACTGGGATCAAACCCAGGGCCTTGCTAAGCAAATACACTAAAACTAAGCTATATGCACAGCCTTGGTTTCTTTTTTTCTAGTCCTGGGGCTTGAACTCAGGGCTTGGGTACTGTTCCTGAGCTCCTTCTGCTCAAGGCTAACCCTCTACCACTTAAGTCACAGTGCCACTTCTGGCCTTTTCTGAGTAGTTTACTGGAGATGAGAGTCTCAGGGACTTTACTGCCTGGGCTGGCTTCAAACTATGATCCTCAGATCTCAGCTTCCTGTGTAGCTAGGATTACAGGCATGAGCCACCAGCACCTGGTTTCTTTAGGACAAAAGCAAGCAAGCAAACAAGGTCTAGGCTGGCCTTCAACATGAAATCTTGCTACCTTAGCGCTATGTGTGTGTATTGAGCTGGGATTCATTTCATAGCTACCTTAGCGTTGTGTGTGTGTGTGTGTGTGTGTGTGTGTGTGTGTGTGTCTGTGTGTGTGTTGAGCTGGGATTTATTTCATACTCCTAGGCTAGCCTTCCACATGAAATCTTGCTACCTTAGCTACCCAAGTCTGTGTGTGTATGTGTGTGTATTGAGCTGGGATTCATTTTATAGTCCAGGCTGGCCTTAAACTAATGATCATCTTGCTTCAGCCTCCTCAGTGCTGAGATCAAAGGCATGCGCCAACCATACCTGGCATAAACACTAAGGCTGTTACTTTTTTTTTTTTTTTGTCGGTCATAGAGCCTGAACTCTGGGCCTGAGCGCTGTCCCTCAGCTCAAGGCGAGCCTTCTACCACTTGAGCCACAGCGCCACATTCAGCCTTTTCTGCTTACGATGTGCTGAGGGATTGAACCCAGGGCCTCATGCATGCAAGGCAAGTACTCTACCACTGAGTCAACTTCCCATCCCCAGGCTCTTAAATAGCCATACCTTATCACTTGCCACTGCTTAGAAAAGTCTTCCAATTTTAGCTTTATGCCTTTGCTAATTCTTTTTTATCTTTTTTTAGGTGAGACTTGCTGCATTATTAACCTCTAGGGTAGGTAGGCCTGAGTAGCTGGGACACAAGCATGTGCTACCACAGAGTTTTTCCCTTTTTGGAGTGCTTCAGATGAACCCAGGGCCCTGCACATGTATTCTAGTACTGACTCATAACTCTTGCCCTGCCTTTGGTAAGTAGAACACTGGTAACTAGAATATTCTGTATCTTTCAATCCCTCTTTTCTACTAGGGTAGCTATGTAAAGCCTTAAAACACATAAAATACCATCATGCACTTTTCGTGAAAAGAAAAATATACACAAAGATAACCCAACAATATTACAAGATGTATGAGAATAACAGAACAATTCTGGTACTGCAGTTAACTTCCAAAATCTAGTTAAGATGAAAAGATGAAAGGGGCTTTAGCTATATCAGCATTTATTTTACTGCTTTTAAGAAATTTGAAGAAAGAAAAATGGGAACCTCTTACCAATTCTCTCTTTGCTTCTTCAATTTTCACTTGAGCAAGAGATGGATTCTTTTAAAGAAAAACAAAGTAATGAAAGATTTGTAGTGTTTCAAATCAGATACAAAGGGGAAAAATACCATGCCGCAAAGTATCCAACATGCATTCAATATTGGAATTCACTGACTTTATTTACTAATCTATATATGTATGTGTTTATATACAGATACATACATATATACGTATAGATACATATATGTGTGTATATATTGGAGATGAGAGTATATGTTGTATATACACACGTATACATATCATATATGTATACAGGTATGTGTGTCTATATTTGTGTATACATGTATGTATATATATATACACACATATGTGTGTGTTTGTGTATATATATGGGGGGGTGTCTTACTATGGAACACAGGCTGACCTCCAACTTGAGATCTTCTTGCTTTAGACAATACAGACTGAACCATCATACTTGCCTACACTGACTAAATCCTTAAACACAAACTCACTATTTTTATGACCATTAAGTATCTTTTGGGAAAGTTAGAGAAAAATGACTCAAAGAAAAACTCATGAAAATAATTACCGGCATTAAATCTAAATAAGACTCCAATTTTTTCTTCAAAGGTACAGTCTGTCGTTTTAACTCCCCAAGGTTCTGAAAGTAAAAAAAAGTTACAGCATAGCAAATACTTACAATGCAATGAAATAGTTTATTTCTGAAATACAACACAAGAAAGTATTACTGTTTGGATATGTATAACTTTTTTTTTATGGTGTTACAGATCTAACCCAGAGCCTCATACTTGCTAGGCAAGCAATCTACCACTGAGCTACACCCCAAAAATATTTTACATGAAGTATCAAAGAACTTCAAATAAATTGTCTTCCAATGGAAACAAGATACTTAAAATAGAAAAATTATAATTCCATTTACTAAGAATAAACTGGAGATTCTGAAGTCACAAGAGTTTGAGGACCTGTACACTTGCTGTACACTGAAAGAGAGGGGAACACCAAAGATAGCATCCCAGATGTTTAAATTTAATAAATAAGCCAATAATGTTTCATTGACTCCAATAAAGATGCTAGCCTAAAGTAACATATAAACAAACCAAACAGCCAGGCACTGGTGGCTCACTCAGGAGGCTGAGATCTAAGGATCATGGTTTGAGGACATCATTTGAAGTCATGGTTCAGGCAGGAAAGTCTGTGAAACTCTTATCGCTAATTAATCACCAGAAAACCGGAAGTAGAGCTCTGGCTCAAAGTGGTAGAGTGTCAGCCTTGAGCAAAAAAGAGCTCAGAACAGTACCCTACCTCTGAGCTCAAGCCCCATGACTGACAAAAAAAAAAAAAGAAACCAAACAAATGTTAAGATACAGAGCTCAAGAGGTAATTAAGTTATTAATACTAAGCTGGGAAGGTGGCTCAGTGGTAAGACTGCTTGCCTAGTGTGCATGAAGCCCTGGGTTCAACTCCTCAGTACCACATACACAGAAAAAGCTGGAAGTGGCACTGTGGCTCAAGTGTAGAGCACTAGCCTTGAGCAAAAGAAGCTCAGGGACAGCACCCAGGCTCTGAATTCAAGCCCCAGGTCCGGCAAAAAAAAAAAAAAAAGATATTAATACTGATGAACATGAAGTACAAAGGTATAGCTGGCAATGCAGCTCAGTGATATAGAAAGCTTGCCTAATATGGGTTTAATACCTAGGCCACAAAAAGATATAAAAAAAAAAGTACAAAGGAAAAAAAAATAGTGAGGAAAAGCCAGGCACCAATGGCTCACACCTGTAATACTAGTTACTTAGGAGGCTGAGATCGGAGGATCAGGATTTGAGGCCATTCTGGGCAAGAGAGTCTGAGATTCATAGCTAATTAACCACTAAAAAGCTGGAAGTAGAGCTATTGCTCAAGTGGTAGAGAGCTAGCCTTGAGCACAAAAGATCAAAGACAGTGACCAGGCCCTGAGTTCAAGCACCCGGACTAGCGTGCCCACACAAAGACATGCAAAAAAAGGGCTCAGTGGTAGAGCACCCAAGTATAAGACTAAATTCAAATCCTTTGATGCATACAGGGAAAAACAAAACAAAACAAAAGGAACCTCCAAGAGGTGATTAGCCATGAACAGATTAATGCCCGTATGGTACAAATGGTGACTGATGAAAAGGACAAGTTCAAGCATTTCTTTGTTTTGTTTTCTGTTGGTCATGGGGCTTGAACTCTGGGCTTGGGCACTGTCCCTGAGCTCTTCAGCTCAAGGCTAGCACTCTACCACTTGAGCCAAGTGCCACTTCCAGTTTTCTAGTGGTTTATTGGGAGTCTCACACACTTTCTTGCCCAGGCTGGCTTTGAACTGTGATTCTCAGATCTCAGCCTCCTTTAGGTAGCTAGGATTACAGGCATGAGCCACTAGCACCCAGCTTTCAAGTATTTCTTGTAAGTGACTAATACTCACTTTCCCTCTTACCATCTAAGGGCATAACAGAAGATCCACCTAGATATGACCTTTCAAGCTTAGACTTCCCAGACTCCAGAACCTTGAACCAAATAATGTTCCACTGTTTATAAAATATCCAGTATGGTATTTTGTTGCAACAGCAGAAAGGAGACTAAAATAAGAAGCTCACCTCTGACAGTGCTACTAGGGACTGATGAGAAAGAGAAGCATCCATGCCTCTAGCTGACAGCTGCTCCTATAAATACAAGAGGATTCAGTTAAAATGTTATTTTGAAAGTGACAACCAGGGAATATTTTAAACATTGTAAAGAGGAGCTAAAAATCACAGGAGAAATCTATGTTCTTTTATGTTATAGGATTTCACTTCCTACAGTTCAAGGCCCAGGGTTGCATTGAATTTTAGATCCTCCTACCTCCATCTCCCAACTACTGGAATTAAAAGTATGTAACACAAATAAATCCATTTTAGACTCATATTTTATATAGCAAGATAGGTTCTAAATGTAAGGGCCTGAATTTCAGAGCCTAATACCTAACTCTGACTCTGGATGTTGTGCTAAGTAGTCATGTACCTTTCAGCAAATTTCCTCTTCTGGCAGTCTTCTCACTCTTAAAAAGAGACAACTAATACTGCCTACTTGTGAGGATGAAATGAAAAAGAGCTAGTTGTATTCCATCCTTTATACATACCTCTGCAGCTTTGATTCCACATCTGAACTCCTCTGACTTTGCTTTTAGGAAATCCATGTTCTGAAGACGGTTGTCAACTTTGGCCCTTTCAGTAGACAGATGTAGCTCTGCCTTCTTGAGATCCCTTTAGAAGTAAAATTAAAAGCATTTTCTTCTTCTCTTCCTCCTCAGTTAAATGAGTATTAAAAAAAAAATTAAAATTCTACCTACTTCCCAAAACAACCTTTCACTAGTCTTTTATTTGGTTGGTCCAGGGCCTTGAACTCTGAGCCTGACCCTGTCTCTAAGCTCCTTTTGCTCAAGGCTAACACTTTACCACTTGAGCCACTGTGACACTTCTGGCTTTTTCTGTGACTAACTGGAGATAAGAGTCTCAGTGGACTTTCCTGCTGGGGCTGGCTTTGAAGTTCAGTCCTCAGATCTCAGCTACCTAAGTAGCTAGGATTACAGGTATAAGCCACTGATGCCTGCCTTTGTTAGTCAAAGTCAAAATCACCAACACTTTTCCCCGCCCCCAGTGGTAGTAGGGTTTAAACTCAGGGCCTTGTGCTTGCTTGCTAGGAAAATGTCCTACTACCTGAGCCACACCCAAGCCCCAAATTGTCAATTTTCAACTCACTTACTCTTGTAGACATTTTTCTAATACTAAAGTTGCAGTCAGATTTTTTTCAAGTTTTCCCAATTCAAGCTTGATTTCTTCATTTTTGGATTTGGTACGAGAAAAATCAGAGGTCAAATCATTTACTGCAGGAATAAAACTAAAAGAAGACTCAGGTTATTTATATACACTAAGGACAGTAATGAGTTACTTGTCATTTCTAAAAATGACATTATCTCTATGTAGATTCTTATGCAATCAGGTTGTTTCATATACATGTGTGTGTGTGTGTGTGTGCATGTGTGTGTGTGTTTAACTGGAGGTAAGAGTCACTTTCTGGTGTGTGTGTGTGTGTTTAACTGGAGGTAAGAGTGTCAAGGATTTTCCCAGGCTGGCTCCAAACTGTGATCCTCAATTTCAGCCTCCTGAGTAGCTAAGATTACACATGGAAGCCACTGGCACCCAGCTACCTATCATTTATATGTTTTTTTTAATTGTGAAAATACTGTACAGAGGGGTTACAATTACAAGGGCAAGATAATGAGTACATTTCTTATCAAGCATTGTAGCCTCCTCCTTTGTTGCCCCTTCCCATCCTCCCCCCACCCCCCTTATATGATTTTTTTCTTTTCTTTTCTTTTTTTGTCAGTCATGGGGCTTGAACTCTGGGCCTGAGCGCTGTCCCTCAGCTCCTCAGCTCAAGGACAGCGCTCTACCCCTTGAGCTACAGCACCACTTCTGGTTTTCTGGTGGTTTATTGGAGATAAAGAGTTTCACAGACTTTCCTTCCTGGGCTAGCTTTGAACTGCGATCTTCAGATCTCAGCCTCCTGAGTAGCTAGGATTACAGGCATGAGCCACCAGCGCCCAGCAATTTATACGTTTTTTTTTTTTTAAACATGCTTTCTCATTGTCTGGAATGTATTTCATCTGGCAAAGTTCCATTTGTCCTTCAAAATTCTGGATGATTCATTTTTATCCTGGACTAGTATCTTTGTCATTGTGCTTACAGTTTGAATGTTCTTGTAATGTTACAGCCTTCTCACTATTGTTTCACATGTCCATTTGACTGTAAGCAGAGACTGTAAGTAAAAGTAGTTACTATCTATTTATCTCTATTTCCCCAGTATTTACACACTGAGATTAAAACTGGTATTTGGTGTCTGCAGAATGACTAAAGTCTATATTGCTACTGCCACATACCCAAAATACTACTCTTTTGTTCTTGGTGGTGGTGGTGGTCATGGAGCTTGAACTCTGGGCCTGGGCACTGTCCCTCAGCTCTTCAGCTTAAGGCAAGTGCTCTACCACTTGAGCCACAGCACCACTTCTGGTTTTCTGGTGGTTAATTGGAGGTAAAAGTTTCAAGGCCTTTTCTGCCTGGCTTTGAACCACAATCCTCAGATCTTTCTCAGCCTCCTGACTAACTAGGATTACAGGTGTGAGCCACTAGCGCCCAGCTACTACTCTCAAAGCTTATTTATAAATTCTAGACGTTTATTCTGGAAATTAAGCAGAACAGCTGTGCAGTTCTGATTATAATTAATTGTAGTAGTAGTCCTAGCTAAGATATCACCAAAAATGATTCTGGACTCAGATTGGGTTAGAAACTCAATTCTGCCACTTACTAGTTTGGAGAACTTTTTTTTTTTTTTTTGGGTCCGGTTGTGGGGCCTGAACTCTGGGCCTGGGCACCGTCCCTCAGCTCTTCAGCTCAAGGCTAGCGCTCTACCACTTGAGCCACAGCGCCACTTCCGGCTTTTTTTTCTTTTTGCTTATGTGGTGCTGAGGAATCGAACCCAGGGCCTCTGGCATGCAAGGCAAGCGCTCTACCACTGAGCCACCTTCCCAGCCCTGGAGAACTTATTTAAACCAAACCTCTGAAGCCATGTCATTTATACAAGTAAAATGTCTATCACAAAGAAGGAAGGTCCCTAACCTACACTCAATTTTCTTTCCAAATACACGAGAAGAATGTCTTCTCAACCAAATCCTGAAAAAAACACTACAAAGTTAACCAATATAAAACTTCTCTGAATTTATTCACTAACAAAAGTAATGGGTTAATTAAAATTTGGTGTTCTGTTAATTTTCTATACAGGATTACTTTGAGAACTAACAAGTTTTTAGGTTAAGGCCTTCTAGCATGCTCTCTTATTGTTAAACTGTTAACAATAATTACCTTGCCAGTGAGGTGTCCTTTGTTTCAAGGGCCAAAGCGCTGTCAACCAAAGCATTCAGATACCTGGCCCCTGTGCTAGACAGACTGGCAGGAGAGAAATTCACACTCTCCATGAGAAATTCCTGAAGATGCTTGGCTGAAAAGACAAGAGAATTTCACAGGTACTAAGATATCTTTTCTCTCACTACCTTTATTGGAGTACAACTCATGTCATATAATTTACTCACCTAAATTATACAATTCAGTAGCTCTTTACAATAGTCAGAGTTGTATATTCATCAACACAATTTATGCCAGATTATCTTCTTCTTCTTCTTCTTCTTTTTTTTTTTTGCTGGTCATGGGGCCTGAACTCTGGGCCTGGGCACTGTCCCTCAGCTCTTCAACTCAAGGCTAGCCACAGTGCCACTTCCGGATTTTTCTGCTTATGTGGTGCTAAGAATTGAACCCAGGGCCTCATGCATGCAAGGCAAGCACTCTACCACTGAGCACCTTCCCAACCCCTGCCAGATTATTTTCATGACCACAAAAAGCCCCACATCCCTTAGTTATCACTTTCAAATCTCCCAACTCATGAGACCCTAACAACCCCTCTTCTGTCTCTACTTGTCTATTTTAGACATTTCACATGAACCATATACCATGTGTTTCCTGGTGACTGTGGTCCCACCTAGAAAAATGCTTTCAAGGTCCATTCAAGCTGTAGTATGTATCAGGGCTTTATTGAAAACAAGTAGTCTTGGTCTGGGAAGGTGGCTAAGTGGTAGAGTGCTTGCCCTGCATGCATGAGGCCCTGGGTTCAATTCCTCAGCACTATATAAGCAGAAAAAGCTGGAAGTGACTCTGTGGCTCAAGTGGTAGAGTGTTCACCTTGAGCTGAAGAGGTGAGGGACAGTGCCCAGGCCCAGAGTTCAGGCCCCACAACCGGACCCCACCCAAAAAAAAGACCCTATCTGAAAAATAACCAGGGCAAAAAAGGGACAGAGGCATAGTGCAGCAATATTGGGTCCATCCAGCAGGTGTGAGACTCTCAGTTCAAAATTTTTTCTTTAACTTTTTTTCAATCTTTAGTAGTTTGTACTATAATACAATAGGTGAGGCCAGGTGCTGGTAGCTCATGCCTATATTCCTTGCTATTCAGAAGGCAAAGATCTGAGGATGGCAGTTCAAAGCTAGCCCAGCCAGGAAAGTCCATGAGACTTTTATCTCCATTGAACCACCAGAAAACTGGAAGTGGTGCTATGGCTCCAAGTGGTAGAGTGGTAGCTTGAACAAAAAAAGCCCAGGGATGGCTATCAGGCCCTGAGTTCAAGGTCCACGATGGACAATCTATCCATCAATCAATAGGTGACTTGAATGTACTTTTTCATACTACATATGCCTAAGAGGAAATTTCACTTCAAAACTACATGTCCTGAATGTTTCTTGTGACTAAAGCATGGAAACAGACTAAAAAAAAATGTAGAATAAAAGCTACAAGACATCTTGTGTTAAGCTAGTAAGTTCAGGCTTTTATCTTTTACTATTCACAATTTGCTACCAAAGTGCCAATAAAATGTATTATAATGTAATATACGATTTGGAAAGTAGTACTATAACAGACTTGGGATCAAATCTAGGTAAAATAAAGAAGTAAAATGAGTAGTATAGGGCTGGAAGGTGGCTCAGTGGTAGAGCGCTTGCCTTGCATGCATGAGGCTCTGGGTTCGATTCCTCAGCACCACATAAGCAGAAAAAAAAAAAAAGCTGGAAGTGGTGTTATGGCTCAAGTGGTAGCACACTAGCCTTGAGCTGAAGAGCTGAGGGACAACACCCAGGCCCAGAGTTCAGGCCCCACGCCTGAACCCCCCCCCAAAAAAAAAGTGAGTAGTATATACAAATCTTGTAAAGTTTGGTATAATAAAATTTGATTATCTCTATTTATTATTTCATCCAAAATTCTAGACTTGATCTCACCTTCTGATTCATATTCACTTGCTTTCTGTTTCAAATCCTCTATTACCAGATGGGCATCCCTGTCCCGGATCTTGTTATGTTTGGAAAGGTGATACAAAATCTCTGTGGTCCTTGGGTTCACTTCATACTGTGGAATAGGATGATCACCAAAAATTTTCTTCAACCATGCAGCAACCTAACCATTAAAAGAAAGGCAAATATTATAGTATAACAGCACTATTAGAATATGTCTTAAATGTGCTCAAAAACAAATTACTTTCTATGACAATTGTGGTGTTCCACATCACATCATAACTTAAGGATGACCCTATCCTAGCTACTCAGGAGGCGAGATCTGAGCATCATGTTTCAAAGCCAACCCAGGCAGTAAAGTCCTTGAGACTCTTATCTCCAATTAACCACCAAAAAGCCAGAAGAACAGCTGTGGTTCAAGTGGTAGAGCACCAGCCTTGAGGACAAAAGGTCAAGGACAGCACCCAAGCCCTGAGTTCAAGCCCCAGGACTGGCACACATACATAACACAAAAAAGTGAACACAATGGAAAAAAATGGCACAAAAGTCAAAATTATCAGAGACCAATCTATTCTTTCCAAAGCTGCAAACTCAGGATATCTGGCAATGCTTTTGTTTAATGCACACATGGGAAAGCATAATTACAGGTGCATGGTTTGAAAAACAAGTTGTCTCAGGTTGGGAAGGTGGCTCAGTGGTAGAGTGCTTCCTTTGCATGCATGAGGCCCTGGGTTCGATTCCTCAGCACCACATAAGCAGAAAAAGCCAGAAGTGGCGCTGTGGCTCAAGTAGTAGAGCGCTAGCCTTGAGCTGAAGAGCTGAGGGACAGCGCCCAGTCCCAGAGTTCAGGCCCCACGATCGACAAAAAAACCAAAACAATACAAAAAACAAGTTGTCTCAAACACACGATAAAACCTCTTAGTGCCCGAGGCAGGATGCGGCTTCCAAGTGAACGCTCCAGCAGGAAGCAGCAGGAAGCAGCGGTGGGACAAGGTAGGAGGTGGGTCCGGGTTCTCCGGTCCCGCACTGGAGTTTTGACACAGCAGCTGGGGTCAGGGGTCAGGGGTCAGGGGTCGGGGGGGGCTGGGAAGGTGGCTCAGTGGTAGAGTGCTTGCCTAGCACGCATGAAGCCCTGGGTTCCATTCCTCAGTACCACATACACAGAAAACAAACTGGAAGTGGCGGCGCTGTGGCTCAAGGGGTAGAGCGCTGTCCCTGAGCAGAAGCAGCTCAGGGACAGCGTCCAGGCCCTGCGTTCAAGGCCGGGCCCGGCAAAAAGGAAAAGGACGGTCTGGGAAGAGAAGGAAAACGCCCTTTCCCGGGGTGCGAGGGGACGCGTCGAATGGGGAGGAATCGAAAACACTACGTGTGCACAGGAGGCCCGCTGGCGGCGCGTGGGTACCGAAGGCGCCGTCCCCGGAGGCCCGCCAAGCCCGCTCCCGCCCCATCACCTGCGCTTCTCTCTCGCCCGGCGCCTCCATCGCGGCCGCTCCCGCCACTCCACGCACCACACCTCGCGGGAGAAGCGGCCCGCGCGCTCGGAGGGCCCGCCCACACGCCGTTGGTCACGCCCCCCCCGGGCCCGGGGCTTCTGGGAATTGTGGTTTTTAGTCGGACTCCAAACTGCTGCGATGCAGCCTGCATAAGGAAGGCTGATGACGACGGACTCAAGACAGATCGACGACCATGAGTGCTACATTGCAGCTCTTCGCGCCCTCTGTGGATAAAAGATGAGAAGAATGACTGCTGCCAACAGCATGTCTTTCTTTTCTTAGTTGTATTTTTAATTTCTCGTTTGAACCGACGTGTCTTTAAAAAGTACCTGAAACTGCCGGGCGCTGGTGGCTCACACCTGTAATCCTAGCTACTCAGGAGGCTGAGATCTGAGGATCGCAGTTCAAATCCCGCCCAGGCAGGAAAGTCTGTAAGACTTTCTATTCCAATTAACCACCCAGAGAACCGGAATTGGCGCTGTGGCTCAAGTGGTAGAGCGTTTCCCTGGAGCTGACAGAGCAGAGGGACAGCGTCTAGGACCAGAGTTCAAGCCCCACGACTGACCAAAAGAAAAAAAAGAACCTGAACCTTTTCTTAGCAGATGTTTGTGTTTATTCTACAACACAACTGCATAAACTTTTAAGTGCTTAATTTTACCCTGAAAATAAGAGCTGTTGTTTCTTAAACTCTGTGTGTGTGTGTTTGTGTCTGTGTATGTGTGTGGTGCAACTACTGGAGGCATGAGCTCAGGGCCTGGGCACTGTCCCTGAGCTTCTTTTGTTCAAGGCTAGCACTCTGCCACTAAGCCACACGCTCAGACAAGTACTTTCACTTTTCTGAGGCAATGGGTTTGTGTTTTTTGGTTTTGTTTTTTTTTTTGCATTTTACTATTTATTTTTAGTGCCATTACTGGGACTTGAACTCAGGGTCTAGGTGCTGTGCCTCAAGTTATTTTGCTAAATACTGGCTCTCTACCACTTAAGCCACAGCTCCTTTTTTTTTGGCGCTTATTTGGAGGTAAGAGTCCTATGGACCTTTCTACTCAGGCTGGCTTTAAACCATGATTCTCAGCTCTTCAGTACTCAGATCTCAGCCTCCTGAATAGTTAGAATTAGCAGGCTTGAACCACCAGCACATTCAGCTTTTTGTGCATTTTCATAGTTTCTAAAATACTCTGTAAAAGATGGGCAAATGTTAGAGTACTGAGACTTGGACTCAGAGCCTGGGTGCTGTCCTTCAGCTTTTTCCACTCAAGGCTAGCACTCTGAGCCACATCTCTACTTTTGGCTTTTTGCTGGTTAACTGTCAGCTTTGTCTACCAGAGCTGGCTTTGAAATCTGATCCTTCAATCTTCAGATCTCAGCCTCCTAAATAATTAGAATTAACAGGCTTGAGCCACCAGTATATTCAGCTTTCTATACATTTTCATAGTTTCTAAAATACTCCATAAAAGATGGGCAAGTGGTATAGCACTAGCCTTGAGCAAAAAGAGCGCAGGGACAATGCCTAGGCCTGTGTTTGAGCCCCACAACTGAAAAAAAAATACTCTGTAAAATAGCTGGACACGGGGCTGGGAATGTGGCTCAGTGGCAGAGTGCTTGCCTTGCATGCATGAGGCCCTGGGTTCGATTCCTCAGCATCACATAAGCAAAAAGAAAAAAAAGCCGGAAGTGGCGCTGTGGCTCAAGTGGTAGAGCACTAGCCTTGAGCTGAAGAGCTGAGGGACAGCACCCAGGCCCAGAGTTCAGGCCCCACGACCACACTAAAAAAAAAAAATAGCTGGACACATTGTCTTATCTAGATATTAATGCACATACACCTGAACCAAAGGATTGAAATTAGGTAGTAGTTATACAACTTGATCAAAGTCTTCTGGTTCCAATTGGAAGCTTCATAATCCACAGCGCCTCTAGCAATCACTTATCCAGTATACTAGGACAAGCAGATACTTCAAAGAATGATATACAAAATTTTCTGTAATATGTGATTTAAATGAAGTTGTGAATTAGACTTATGCACAGTTATCTTTCTCTTGTATCAAATCTTCCTTCTTTGCTACCTTTTGTTGTGGTACTGAGGTTTGAACTCAAGATCTTGCACATGCGATGCAAGAACTCCCTCTAACACTTCAGCAACACTACCATCTCTGATGTAGTATAATTAAAATGATTTAAGTCTTTTCAGGCTAGGTGAGGCGGTTCAGAGGCCGGCCTGAGCAAAAAGTTACCAAGACCTCAACCAATACTTAGGTGTAGTGGTTCATGCTTGTTATTCTGTGGGCGAAACATGTATAAGAGGATCCTGGTATAGATCTTCTCAGGTGAACATGGAGACTTTCTCCAAAATAACTAAAATAAGGGCTAGTGTAGGTAGCTCAAAAGGTAGAGGGCCTGCAAAATTAGTGTGAGGCCCTTAGTTCAACCTTTAATACCACCAAAACCATCTTCAAAGGAATCTTATGAGTAACCAATACCATATTCTTTTTAAAATATTTTATTTTATTACAAGGGAGATATCAGAGGGGTTACAGTTATGTATGGAAGGTTTGTGAGTACATTTCTTGTGGAACAGTGTTACCCCCTCCCTTGTTTTTTTTGGGGGGGTCCAGTCGTGGGGCCTGAACTCTGTTGGGTGCTATCCCTCAGCTCTTCAGCTCAAGGCTAGCACTCTACCACTTGAGCCACAGCACCACTTCCGGTTTTTTTCTTTTTGCTTATGTGGTGCTGAGGGCTCGAACCCAGGACCTCATGCATGCAAGGCAAGCGCTCTACCACTGAGCCACCTTCCCAGACCCCCAATACCATATTTTATGGCTTTTATTTTTACTTTTGGCAGTGCTGGAGAATTCAGGGCCTTGTATCAATGCTCCCCCTCCTTATTTTTATTTTGTTTCAAATACATTTCTGCTCAGTAGCTAAATCTCCCATAAATGGTTGCAACCCTTGGGAATTAGGGGAGTGGAAGCTTTGTGTCCTTTGTCATTGCAACTTTTACAAAATATTTCAGCAATATTGTTATTTTTACTAGACACATTTTGTTCCTGTCAAGTTTATTTATATTCACCCCTGGTTCCCAGGAGAATTACCACAGTTAACTAAGGCTCACCTTGAAAAGAAAGTAGAATATCCGCAAGGGATTGCTGACCATGTTTGGTCAGCCAAGCCAACTCCAGTAATGACTTTTTTTTTGGTCAGTTGTGGGGCTTGAACTCTGGGCATGGGTGCTGTCCCTGAGCTTTTCAGCTCAAGGCAAGCACGCTATCACTTGAGCTATGGCACCACTTCTGGTTTTCTGGTGGTTAATTGGATATGAGTCTCACAGGCTTTCCTGCCCCGGTGGGCTTTGAACTGCGATCCTCAGGTATCAGCCTCCTGAGTAGTAGCTAGGATTACAGGTGTGAGCCACCATCGCCCAGTGAAGTAATGATCTTTTTAAAATTCAGGATACTCAAACCCTGGCTTTGAATGTAAGCCAAGATTTGGTTGGCTGGAACTGAAAGATGCCTCTTCCAAGTTAGAGGTGAAATCAACTTTAATAGTTTCTGCTTTAGCCGGGCGCTGGTGGCTCACGCCTGTAATCCTAGCTACTCAGGAGGCTGAGATCTGAGGATCACGGTTCAAAGCCAGCCCGGGCAGGAGAGACCGTGAGACTCCTATCTCCAATAAACCACCAGAAAACCGGAAGTGGCGCTGTAGCTCAAGTGGTAGAGTGCTCGCCTTGAGCTGAAGAGCTGAGGGACAGCGCCCAGGCCCAGAGTTCAAGCCCCACGACCGACAAAAAAAAAAAAAAATAGTTTCTGCTTTGACATAATTAATACTCAGCATCACCCCCCCAAATTCTGAGCTAATCTCTCCTCTCTCTCTCTCTCTCTCTCTCTCTCTCACACACACACACTCACTCTCTAAATATTCCAGGAGGAGGAAGTCCCCAATTTCATAGAGTAGGTAGGTATAGAAAGTGTGTGGTGTGTGTTCATTTGTGTGTATTAATGATGTCTATTTCATTCTGAAAGTCGAGTCTACAATGTCATAAAACTAGTTGTTGGCTGAAGAAACTTGAGTCCCAGTAGAGTCCACCATGAAGTTTGATTTTTTTTTTCTTTCCTGCCGGTACTGGGGTTTGAATTCAGGCTTTCACTCTTAGTAGGCAGGTGTCTACTGCTGAGTAACCCACTTCCCGCCCTAGAGTGACACTTTTGCTTCGGGACTATTCTCAATTAATTTGAGCAACTTCTGTGCTAGTGTGGATTCTATCACTGCCCTGTGATGGTCAGAAGTTTTAAACAATTTTATCTCATTCATACAAGATTCTTTTAGGTTAAACGTTGACAGTTGATTTTTTTTAATTTAATTTAATTTTATTTGTGAACATACTGTACAGAGGGGTTACAATTACATGGGCGGGATAATGCGTACATTTCTTACCAAGAATTGCAGCCTCCTCCTTTGTTTACCCTTCACATCCCTTCCCAGCCTTCCCCCCCCCCCCGACAGTTGATTCTTTAAGGCGAATACAAATCATATATGGTATGGACGTCAAGATGGTCCAAAATTTCCCATCAAGATCTGCGCTGGGGACTGTTGAATGGCAGGTTGACCTACCGGGTGGGAGACGCGGCCGGGTGCCCCAGCCCTGCGGGGTCTCACTGTGCATCCTAGCTCCAGCACCAGGGTGTTCGGGCACCGGCGCGGTGAGTCCTCCGGGTCGCCAGGGCGGCGCTCCCGGGCCGGGGCCGCCCATCAGCCGGCTCCGCCCACAGGCCCGGGAACCGCACTTCTGTGGGAACTGCTGCTCACGTGGTTGTCCGGGGCAACCGCCAGGTCGACTCGAGAGCTCTAGGTTAGAGGCACGGCAAACCCCGGGGCAGAGGCCAGCCACAGTCTCGCCACTCGTTTTGGGGTTTAAACCTCCAAAAGATACTACACTTCAGAGAAAAGAAAGAAAAAGAGTGGATTTGCATCCGGAGGCGAAAGCGAGAGGCAGTACTTCCGGGTCAGGTGGGCCGGCTGTTTTGACCTTCGCCGCCGCTCGGCCATTTTGTCCCAGTCAGTCCTGAGGCT